TGTATATATTATATATAATTATATATAAAAAAAAAATATATTTTATTTTGCGAATTATTAAAAATTCTTATATGCAAAATGCAATGCTTGACGTACCATCCACATCTCCGCAAGAGAATCCCACTACTCTGGTTACATTTTTGTAGACAAAATAGTCTCGAATGATTTGACTGGTTTGCGCATAAACGACAATGATGAACGTTTGTAAAAGAAAAAGGCGATACATCAGGCACATTGTTTCTTGATATACACGAATTACAAAGTTGCGACGATGTTACAACTACTCCGTTTCGTCTTCATTCTATATGAAAAAGGATAATTTGATATTCGAGACAATAGCAGAACTCGAGACAATAGAAACGATTTGCAGAGTTCGGACTCATTCATAATATCCATAATGTCGATTGACATGACAGCATAATCACGTCGGTTACAGTGATACAAACCATATACTAGGTACCTCGGCACTTTCGTTGTTCACTTCATCTAAAATACTCCAATTTGAGATTGAATCTCTTCAACAAAAAATTTAATTAATAGCGAGAGAGAGAGAGAGAGAGAGAGAGAGAGAGAGAGAGAGAGAGAGAGAGAGAATTCCACAGAATATCGCATCTGAATGATGCATGCAACAATATGTTATAAAAATTTTGGAGTGATTCTGAGACACCCCGTATATGACGCGATTTCCTCTTTAGTTTCAAAGTCTTCAACTTTCTGTCCCTATTAGTTATCAATTACCTCGAAGTCGAATCTGTTACGATCGATTTGCTTGCCCCTCTATCTATTATCCGGTTGTTTTCTTACGAAAGTATTCATAGAAAAATTTCTCCAAAGAGACTGTTCTGCGGTGCTAAGCGAATTCACAATTTTATTAAATCAATATTAGAGCAACTGGGAAAAAACATTTGTAATGTATTCTGTCTCCTCGCGTAAAATAAATATATGATAATGAGACACTAATGAATGTACCAATTGTAACACACAAAGGAACTTATGAATATTTTACTTCCCAAAGTGAGATAATTCACTCAGATAAATTATGTTTGCTCGTGCTGGCTGTCGCTTCCGCGTCATCGTTGTTCAAAGGTCTCGGCATTTCTTCTCTACGAGCAAAATTATAATAACTTTGACATGTTAAGACGTAAATGCGAGCATTAGCTTACCTCATGAATCGATAGTTGATCATATTCTCAATGAAGCATATTATGCCTCCGATAAGTACGCCGAAAGCTAATAGAACCAAAGCCGGAGCGGTCTCGTATATGGATATGCTTCTCGTGGACAACGTATCGAGTGTACATTGAGGTTTTCTGCTTGACCAATATTTTATCTGTCGATCACGTAATCCGGTATTGAACATCTTGGACAGCCTGAAGAAGAATTTTTTAATTATTTGTTGAACTACTAGTACCTTCGTTGTATAGCAAGGAAAAATTATAAATAAGAACTTACCCGATTTTCGCCATCTCGGTGAATTGACCATTGCGACTGGCGTACATACCCATGACGGATTGTTTAAACAGATGGATCTCTGTCAATGCGCAGATCTTGTTCGGATCGAACATTTTTTCGATATATGGATATGCCGTGTTCGGATCCGTGTGATAGGCCAAGATACCTTCGCTGACTTGCTTCATGCCCTCCTCTATCGGCAAGTACCGCTTCGACTCCGGCAAAGGATCCCAACGTTTCTTCCTAAAGTAATTTGATTCCGAGCTAAGTTTCTGAAAATACAAAATTCGGATATTATACAGTCTTTCTGGAAAGACTGACGCGTATATATTTCATGTCTAAAAACGTACATATAGAAAGTAGTTCAAATACGGCACAGCCTCTGCCGCGATTTTCAGATTGCTATCCGCGAGAACCGTCACGTCATCCTCCATCATATCAAGCGGTTCGCTCAAACGAGCCGACACTACACTGCCCGAATAATAATTGAACATAATCCAATTAAACATGAGAATCTGCAAAAGAGCGATACGACCCGAGATACATTCGGGATAAAAATTTGCACCTACAAAAGAGATTCTCGTCAAGTTCTTGAGATGATACATTTGCAATCTACTTATTTTATACCTTGCTGAGCAGTAATGCCAATAGTAACGACCACAGCATCGGAATATTTCTCTTCTTTGCTCGCCTCCTCACATTTCATTATTATTCTCATTATAAACATGAAGAACACAATAAACACGGCACTCAAGTACCAAATCTGAACCGCAAACGGCTTAAAGAAAATCTCTAGTTTGATTTTATTCGACGGAGTGGACAGCAACATGAAACATGGTCTGCAGAAAAGAGATTAATTATTCGTCGATGTCAAATTGATGTTTTTGATATAAAGTGAAATTTCGATACCGAATCGGCCATGCCGCGCCAATCAAGGTAGCGTAATCTAATCTCTCGGATACCATAATTCTGGGATTACTACCGAAGTCGATATAATTCGTTTGTAGAATCTCGAATATCAAGCCGTGCACACTGTGACGATCCCAATAAATTATTTCCGAAGCGTGTACACTTGAAAAAAGATATTTTTAGGATTACTTCTGGGAAAAAATGTTACATATATGGAAAATTAACATATTTTATATAATATGTATATGTTATATATATTATATGTAATTGTATATAAAATATGTTAATTTTACATATAATTATATACGAAACATTTTCCTAGGCTCTTACAGAAATCTAATAGCGGCTTTATTTATTACTGAAAAAGTAATTAATTATTTACTTGAAGTACTAAAAATACTGGACGATGTTATTAATACTTAAAATAAGTAATTAATTACTTTCAATACTAAATTAATTGGTAGATTAGATTTTTGTAAAGATATTAGCCAGAAAAATGCAAATTGCATCCTAAAAATTGAAAAATACCTAAAATTGAAGAGATCAGCGGTATGAGATATCATGGCGTATACGAACTTATGCATGCTATCTAAAGATCTGGTGTTAATATCGATCATATAATCTTCCAATCGCATGTTCTTCGGCCTATATTGTATCTAATGATAAAGCATATGATAAAATATAATTAAACATTTCTCCTTTTTTTTGTAGAACCATACATTCAGTGAGACGCACCACGCCCGATATTTTCAGTGTCATGCCGTGCATATTCGCCCTTCTTTCGACCAGAGGTTGCGTCAGGGTGATAATAAGACCTTCTGCTCGTCGCCACCAACCCAGTCGGGTCAAATTCAATGTACCTCCACGGTATTTGCAGTGATTATAAACGTCGTAAAGATCGTAACCGCTGCCATTTGTTATCGCAAGCGTGACATCAGTCGTCATACTGTAAGCACTATCGTTCAAAAGTGGCACACTGCTATTCAGCTTCGATCCCAGGACCAGCCAGTGATATGAGTAGTCATACATACGGTACTTCGAGGTCTGAAAATATGAAATATATTCTATTTCTTTCTTTCTTTTAATAGAGAGAAAATAAATATGAATGATAAATATGAATATAAATATGAATGATTAACCTTTCGTGATCATATCTCCTGAGAATTTGTTGGTCACACAGGACAAAATAACTCCAACATTTTAACTGATTGTCGTATTTACAGCTTTTAATTTAAAATCACAAAAATTATTAAACATACTTTAAACATTGTAGAATATGGAAATGCAGTGGCTTTTTAAAGTTTTTAATTTTACATATTTTTAAAAAATATAGACGTAAAAGCTGACGTCTAAAGAACAACACCTAAAGCTGCAGTTGAAGGTGTAAAGAAAAAAGATAAGATTTTAAATTTTGGATAAATGACAATTTGAGTTCTGTTTAAAAAAAAAAATCTTAGAAATATAAAGTCTCACACCATTTTGGGATCCCCTGGACCCCAGTAACCACAAAAGGTTAAAGATTCACTCTATAAATTCTTTTACCTCAGCAAAGATGGTCACGGCGCTTTCGTTGCGACAACGCAAATCTACGACAACTCCCAAGCTCCAGGCATCAGTACTCAAGAATCGTCGTATGTTGATATCCTTATCATGTTTCCGAATGATCGTGAATATACCAGCTCTGCTTAACGACTTTATGAAATAAAAATCACCTGCGATAAAAAAAATGAGACATGAAAAATCTTTATCATTTATTCTTTTGTTGAATAATTTATTAACACTTTGAAAATTTCACCTACTCGTGAAATCTCCACAAGAGAATCCCACAACATTTCGCACTGCCTTATTCACGAAATAGTCGCGAATAAAATCACTATCTCCCGCGTTGACACTACAAGTGAATTGCAGTAAAGCAAAGAATATTACGTACGCTCCACTGTGCTTTAATTTCGCATTATTCATATTGTCGTGCAAAAAATAAAAGTTCTGCGGACTTTATGTAACGTCGAGTCTACACACACGAATAAAGGAAAGAGCTAACAAAAATAGAGTGTAATTCGATTAGATTTGCACGGATCGGTTGTAACATGCTTTGAATTTTTCAGTATCTATATAACATTAAACATGATATAACATTAAACATGATATTGAAATCGAGCATCTTATCGTTTATTTACGTTCCTATGCTATGACATTCTGTCAAGGAATGAAAACTAGAAAATGTGTCATTATCGAACTACAGCAAATGACACACACGGTAGTGATTTATTATTTGCGCATATGTCTAATGAATAAATAAGCTACAATATCCGCAATAAAATCTAATTGAATAAGCATATAGAATGGCATATAGAAATAATATATTATCTGGTTATATAGAAATAATATATAGAAATAATATATTATCTGATTAACTATCATTCGCGCGAGAATATTTCACCCGAAGTAGATGTGTTTCTCGTGAATTTCGGAAAACACAGTTTCCTCTGTCTGTCGGTAATAGACATTGATAATCTAAAAAAAAGAGAATGACATAATGGAAAATTAAAAAAATACTTCAATATTATTCTTTTTCTTAACTAATTAATTTTTTTAACACTGATCGTTACCGAGGCCATAACCAGTAGACAAGATTCTCTGTTATGCAGATTACGAGAGACAGCGCGGCGGCGATGCCAATAAACACAAAAACGGGTGCAGCTTCATAGATCGACAGCGGTTCCGCGATTAGCATATTTTTCGGACAAAATGGTTTTCTCGCCGACCAGAATTTCAGTTGACGCTTGCGTATGCCCATGTCATACATTTTAGTCAAACTATAATAATAAACATTATGATAATAAACATAATGAATGATTATAATTAATATAATATGTTATAATAATAAACATATGAATAATAATTGCTTTTAAAGAAGAGAATTAAAATTTAAAAAATGAGGCATGTGTAGGCGTCTACTTATAGTCACTTGCGTATTCTCCTACCCAATTCTAAATAGTGGAGTGAACGGGCTCCTATGCCTACCCCAAAGGGCGAGCACCGCACGAAAGAGATGAACCTCCGTTAGCTCGCATATCATCCGTGGGTGGAAATGCCGCTCAATGTACGGATACGCGGATTCGATTGATGTATGATAAGCCAAGCCGCCTTTAGCCACGCGATTCAGGCCCTCTGTTAGTGGCAGATAACGTTTGGATTCCGGTAGTTTGTCCCATCGTTTCGCGTTAAAATACCGTATCTCTTTCTCCGGTGTCTTTCAATAAAAAGATAAAATAAGAGATGCGCCAATGTAATAAGAAAAGGAGTTTTATATTTTGAATAAAAGGATATCTCTGTAAACATTAATTAACAATAATGTAACATCAACGTTACATATAACACGTTATATTTCATTTGTATTGAGAATAAAATTAGAATATTGATATTATTGTTAATGTTTACTGGAATAAGATTTTTTATTATAATTATTATTGAACTTCTTTCTTATAAAATTAATTTTACTATTTGGATTATGTTATAATTGGATTTTGATATTTAAAAAGCATCTACCTGTAAAAAAGAACGAATATATGGCGTTGGTTCGGCCGCCACTTTCAATTGACTGTCCGCCAAGCTGATCAACGAGTCATTCATCTTCACACCCATATTCTTTAATCGATCAGACACGATACTCGCCGAATAATAGTTCAGGATTAACACGCTGAAGAGCATAATATGTATAAATGCTATGCGACCTGCATAATGCACCGGAACAAACACGGAACCTGTAAAAGTGCTTAATTTATCGATAGCTCTTCATTTTCTATGCATTTAATTATTTTACTTAAAACTTGACAGAAAATTAACGATGATGATGGCGAGTACCTTGTTGGGAAAGAGCGCCTATTGTAAGAAGAATACAAATGTTGTAGCCCTCTGACACACTGTGAATGCCTTCCTGTCTGATCAGTATTACCAATATGGACGCAGAAATTATTATCGTACAAAGTACAACGTACCAAACTTTGATATTTAACGGTTTCAAAAATTGTTTTGTCTTCATGTTCGCCGAAGCTATCGTCCGAAATAAAAAGCATGATCTGCGTAGAAACAACTCATTGAAACATTAAGCAATAAGATAAAACAATTCCTTATTGTGTATTATAAAATTACATTACCGCATTGGCCATACTGGGCCGATAATATCTCCCGACCGTAATCTATCAGCTTTCATCACTATTGGACTGGCCGAGATATCCACCGTCTTTTTTTGAAAAGCGACAAACATCGGCGCAGAATTATCTTGCCGCTTTCTTGGATCAACTTCCACGATTTCCATACTTTGAAATAATAATATAAAATATTTTTAAAAATTTTTATAATAATTTAAAAATATAATAATTTAAAAATATTCCATAAAAAAAGAAATAAGCGAAAGAAATGCAAAAATATATATTCGAAAAAATGTTCCATTTCAAAAGATTCTTACGTGAAGTTAAAGAGATCAGCCATGTGCAGCAAGATCGTATACAAGAATTGGGACCGACCGTATTTCGCCTTCATGTCTTGGTTCAGCACGATAACTTCCGTGGATAAATTGTAAAACTTACGCGGCAGCTATGAGAATTTACGGTTAATAAATCATATTACCAATTGCTGTACTCGTTATAAACTAATCAGTTACTTACTAAGACTCCCACTCTGAGTTTCATACCATGCAAGTTAAATCTTCTCTCGTACTTCGATTGCTTTAGTCTGATCGCCACACCAGATTTTTCGGTCCAGTAACCCAAGACGGTTACATTCAAGGAGCCACCGCGTGCTTTGCAAGGATTATACACGTCGTATAAATCAAAACCGGTATCGGTCTCTATGGCAATTGTAATATCGGTCACCACACCGAACGAATCATCATTTAATAAGCTCAAGGTGTCGTCCAACTTTCGTCCCAAAATAAGCCATTTATGCGTTTCGTCGAATAAGAAAGATTTCGTAGCCTTAAATAAGAAAGAGATTAATACCAAGAACTTTGCCATTGCTGCTTCAACATCTACGACTTTTGTTATCTTTCTTGACCCTTGTCTGTTCCTCCCCTCTTCTGGTTGCATTTTCACATACATTACTTCTTTATTCTTAAATTAAATTCTGCATTCTTAGTTCCAAATATTTTACGTAATTAATATACAATATAATAAGTAAGAATTTTTTTATAAAAATCCCGTGATTGCATTTTCACATTGTCTCCTTTATTCTTACATATTATATTGCACATTTTTAATTCCGAATACTTTACGCTGTTAATATATGAAATAATATGGAATGAAAAATTTTTTGGAATAGTATCTTTTACCTCATAATATATTACAGTATAATTGTGACCTTCGCATCGCGCGTCCACGTAAATGCCTAAATTACGATAGTTGTTCTGTAAAAGCTTCCTAAGAATATGCATCGATGATTCATTCATGGATTCGAGATTGCACATCGATGTCAGTACAAAGACTTCGTTGAATGTCCTTGCGAATTTCACGTTGCCTGTCACGAGTCGAGAAAAGTTTGTAATATAAATTATATATGAGTTATATTTCTATCATTTAAATATTGTTACGCACTTTCGAGACCACCGCAAGAAAACCCTACGACGTTGGATACATCTTTATATAAAAAGTAGTCTCGGGCCATAATATTGTCGTTTGCGTAAGAAACGAGTAGTAGACGCGACAGAAACAGCAACTTCCAACTTCCATGACGCATTTCGTAAATTATACGGATTACGCCGAGATTATACCTATTTGAAGGAGAATAAAGCAGTCATTCCTGCATCCGCCGCATGGTCAACTACTCAAAGCGCAAGTCTCTCATGAATATTTCATTTCATGCATTTTTATGATTTGAAATATTAATTCCTTCGACCGACTTACATATTTAGCTACCTTCCTGGAACTTATTATTTTATTATTATTCTATATTGTATTTATTTCTCCGTGTTTCTCTTTCGCGGCGATTGCCTCGAGATTTTTACATTTCTGAGAAATCGAGAGTGAGGAAAAAATTCTGGAATTTCATTGAAGAGAATCACAGGAAATGTAACAAGATGGAACAAATGTGACGATATTATTATGAAAGGAATATTCATTTAAAAATCATAGTTTCAATTAATATAATTTGTACTCTTTCTAATGTAGCATTACGTATATTAAGGATACATTCCGATACGATGTACGTTCGATGTACGCATTCAGAATCGAAGCGCTTCATAAATAAAGTAACTTATCAATGACTAGTACAGATTATTGCGCTATTACCGCTCGAGCTGTAACCGTGAGTTAATTCGCAAATTCTCAATTCTAAAAAAATTCGTCAAGATCGATATTCAGAATGTTTATTGTAGTGCAAAGGGAGGAGCATCGTTGGTCGATAGATAAAATTTGCCACGTAACCTGAACGAGAAGAAGACAAATTGTGATGAATTGTAATCAGTTTTCGCGAATAAAAAAAAATATAAACAATGATATCTTACGAGGTAGAGGCGTATTCGCCCATCATAACAACCGGATTGTAATCACAAAGTCGCTCCTTGTATTTTTCCCAGCTCTCGCACATTTTCGCCTTGAAACCTACCGTGCTGCCGATGCTCTCGGTCATAAGCTGATGTGCTCTGGAATGGCTGCAATAAGCTGAAATATAAAAAGAGGCATTAAGATACTCGAGAATCCTTTCAATATTCTCCACAGCAAGGATATGATGAATACCTTGCAATACTCACTTATTGTTGGCACGAAAGAACATCCAGGTTGCGGAATCTTGCCGTTATTAGGATAAAAATCAGCGTGTCCCAATGGCGCCAAGAATCCAAACACTGGTCCGCTGGTATGAATGACATCAACGAATTGAGCGTCGGTTGGATCCAACCGATATTCTGGATCGACGACACCAGAGATAGTCTCGAAGAGAGGACTCGCAGGATCTAATCCTTCTCGGGAAAATCATGGAATTACGCTCGTGAAATAGCCAATATTTTCGCTTTCATAATTCATAATTCGACATCGATAACAAGTATTATAACTGTATTGTCTTTCCAGTGCTGTCTTGTCAGTAATACACCCCAAATAAATATTACAACTTTAATGCGCGTAATTTCATTATTTAGTTTAATATTTATCTATTTTTTCTATTCTATATCTAACAAGAATCCTTTGAGGAAAAAACTATTGTATTAATAATTCGATTAGAAAGTTATAATACTTTTTATTAACATCGTCAAACTCGAATTTATATTCTTCTACGAAGACTGAGGCTCACAATTCACAACTCTCCAATGAGAAATGACAATGGAATCGATATCGATTCCATTATCATTTCTCACTGGATCATGGTTAATTCTTAACCGAGGTTTAACTTATTCCTTATCTCTTTCTAATGCTAGAATTGGAAAGAGATGAAGAATAAGTTGAACCTCGGTTAAGAGTTAACTATGAGCTGTAAAATTGAGCCTAAGGGTTACGTATTCATTGATTTACCTGTTATTCTCCCAATACGTCCATCGTGATAAGCTCCGGCGAAGCCCGCCACATAAGAGCCCAGGCTATGACCACTAATGTGCACATCCTTATACTCCAGATTCGAATCCCGATTCAAAAAATCCAAGAACTGGCCTAAGTACTCACCAACTAGACGCGTGTTCTTAGCCGCCACCGGATAGGCGTCGGACGCCAAGATTCCCCAGCCCACGACTATCACGTTCACATCCTGATAAAGCAGATACGCTAAAAATGCAATTAAATGTTATATCTCTATCTTAAAAAAAAAAAACATATTTTTTTTTATTTGGAAGCAACGTTTTAGAGGACATGGGATCATTAGATCAAAAAGGAGTGGGATATAAAAAACCTTGGAACTCTTCCGCGAAGAGTTTCTGGCGGGAGAGAGCGAGCAGAAAAACTTGCAGAATGATTAATTAAGCCGTTATCACATTGACCCTTGAACCGACAACGACGTCGATTCCGTGTTTACCGAAATAGGCTGACCCTGATTGTTTGCGAAAGTAGTAGCTGCGGTAGTACGGAATGCGAATACGCGATGACGTAATACCTAATTCCACCCACCATCTATTAGATCACGTATCCAGCCCTCATTTCCGGTATCGCTGAATCCATGAACGATGAACTTGGTCGGCCGGCTCTCGTTGAAGTGCGACGCGTACAGCACTTCGGTATTGTTCAGGAATAATTGCTCTTCGCCAAATGGATTTTCTCTGTGCGAAGCAATATTGTGAGAAAGACATTGCAACAAAATTGATGCATGATAAACATTAAATTTAAGTCCGAATAAAGATTCTCATCAAACATGCGAATTTCTCCGATTTCTTACTCTTCGAGGTAACAAAAGGAAAAGTTATAACAATATCAAGAAGTGCCTTCCTTAATCGGCTTGTTTGCCGGAAAGAGAGAAATAAAAAGAAAGAATAAAAAAGGAGAGCGGGAGTCAATCCAAAGACGCGATATTAAGGCGTCAACGCGGCGCGGCGCCTTAACACTCGATAGTCGATCGAACGTCAGCGCTGAGAATAGAATGCCCGCTGATTGCACGTATCATTAAAAAATTGACGCATCCTCCACGGGGCAAGCCGGCGATAGCGGTGCCATGGTGCATAGAAATTAGCCGCGTCGGCGTGTGATTGATTCCCGATCGACGTCAAGATAGCCAATTGCAATTATATAAAATAATTATTTGGGAAATATGTCCGAGGAAACTCGGTATGACGATAAAAATGTGGACAGTGAAAACGATGAAAACCTGCAATATATGGTCGGTATTCGTAGTCGATTCTTGTATTCAAGATTGTCTTAATTAAGTACAATCTTAAGAATCATGAATCAATCAGAAGACTGGTCATAGTCGACTCTTAAATTTAAGACTATAGTACAGACTTAAGATGTCATAAGCCAATCAAACGGCTATATTATCATCTTAAGAAATTACTTAAGATGATCTTAAAAGAAGAACAGACTATGAATATCATTCAGAAAGTTGTATTAATTAGCATTTTAAGACATTACTCAAGACGGTCTTAAAATAAGAATAGAATAAATACTAGTTTATAATATAATTTCAGTTTAAGACTTGATTGATGCATGTCTGAGAATGAAGCGTCTGGATGTCTTCTGTATAACCTCGGGAACGATTCTCTTTTGTTTTCTCTTCCAATTGACCAGACTTTTCACATAAATACAGCTGTTATCTCGTGTATCATACTGAGATAACAAGACAACATTATATTCCACTTTCATATCTCATCGCAAATCATGTTGTAATAATTAAATGTGTTGTAATAATTAAAAAGGGATTATACGCACCTGGTGTATAATTTAAAGGTTGCTGGTTCGCGTTCCAGCACCGTCTCGACAATCGACGCTCGCGCGTTGTCATTAAGCAGTGTGCCTTCCGGATACGCGTACACTGGAATTAACAACTGAGGAATTAATCGGTTGGGATTAATCAGTCCGCGTCGCGAATAAAATTCATGGAAATAGAGAGGGGAGGGCAGAGTTTGCGTATCGGTGCGAGATTCGAACCAGTACGTCTGATTACCTGACCAGGCGAGTAGGAAGGTTGAAAGGACGAGAAGCTGAACCTGTGACATGTCTCGGAACGAGGTGCTGCGCAACATACCAGTCTCTACGAGATGCACCGGATTACTACTTTAACTTGGTCGGCTTAACATCGAGCCCGTCATTCATCCCGCGCGCTTTCTTTTTGCTCCTCCACCAGCTCTCGGGAATACGATAAGAGCGCCTAATGCCCGCGTACAGCTTTAATTCGTTGACGCGGTTCGCCACCGCGGATTTTTGACAATCACCTCCTCGCCATAGTCACGAATTCCGTTCGATGCATTTCAAATCTGAAAAAATTAACTATGAGAAATTCAATAAATCGCAACAAACAGATAAACGTATGGAGACAGTCTGACTTTACGAGAAAATCCAATTAACTTCAAAAAATTCTGCATAAAAATTAATTGTTTTACGCAAAAAGTTTTAAATACGTGTAGATATTTGAAATGTATCTTATTTTCTAGAATATTAATTGTTTTTAAATAAAAACATATACATATGATAAACCCATACCATATTACTGTGCGTTGCTCATTTTTTATCTGAAGGTTATTAATTAAGGTTATGCATTTTTAGTATTAATCCGTTAATGCTTTCTTTTTTCTCCTCACCTTTTTTGGATAAAGGACCTTCTATGCCTCTTAAAAAAATCATTCATATAATAAATTTATATAAAATATATATACACGATCTACAATACCGACTACGATTAAAGCAAGTTTCGCTACAACTTTGGGATGTTTTTCGACAGATTGTGCCTCACGCAATTTTCTCAAAATGGCGTACGCATATGGACGCATTTATGAGGACGATCGACGGTGAACTGTCAAAATCGGCACTACGTGGCAATCTCGAATTTATTTCAAACCTTGGAAAATCG